TTTGGTATTTTTTATTAAATTAAATCATGCAAAAATATTTAAAAAAATAAATAAACACGTAAAATAAATAAAACAAAACAAAAAAAACCACCAAAGAATGGCTCGGCTTGTAGCTAAAGTGGCTCGGCTTAAGGCACAAAGATTGGCTCAGAGTTGCGGCTTGGCGATTAGGTTTGTAGCTCGGCTCGACCAGAACCAAAGGCAGGGATGCGGGTCAGCAAACTCGGGTTGGCACTCGAGTCGAGTCACCCTTAGCAAAATGCGCGGATCCTAGGTTTATTAAGCTTCAAAACAATGTTGTTTTAGCATAGTATATAAAGCTAAATCTCAGTCTTTTTTCAATAGATCCCCTTTCTTCCCCTTCTCTCTTCTCTCATTTTTTCTCTTTTCCTCTCTCTAAAATCCTAGGATTCCAATTAAACCTTCATCGAAAACTAGGAAAAACACGTTGAAAAATTCAAGTTTCGTTGAAAAAGTTTACCGGAATCTGAAATTTTTAAAAAATTCTCAAAAAAAATTTGCTCAAAAATTTGAAAAAAAATCTTAAAATTTCTAAAATTTGCCTCTACTATTCTAAACACCCTTTTTTTTCTACTTCTATTTTCTTTGTATTTCGTGTGTGTCCCTTAAACTTAGCTAGGGTCTGTATTTATAAGATTTTAGGGCCACAGAATCCAAATCTAATTAGAAATCCCAATTTCCTTCGATCTTTTAGTCTCACTCAACCTTTCCCAATCCATCCAAACTCCTAAACCCAGTGTTTTACACCAATTCAACCTCTCGTTTTTTGTTTTTTCTATTTTTATTATTTTTTAATTAATTAACAAAATCAAAAAGAAGATCTCGGACATATTAGGTATCTAAAACTAATTTTAAGGTTCAAACAAAACTAATCTAAGCTTGAATCTTAAGATTGGATTCTGTCCAACGTGATTTAAACCTAGATTTTTGCAAGTCCGTCCAATTTGATTCGATTTTGAATTAAAAACCCTTTTAATTATGCATATTTTATTAATCATTGTTTATCAACATAGAATAAAAAAAAGAAAAAAAAATAATAACTAGTTGACTTCGGACAATATGGGTGTCTACATTTGGCTTATTAAATTTGGCATATTATCCATCATGTATTTAATATATATATACATAAATTTATATATTTATATTTTAATTTATATTATATAATTATATTAATTTTTAGTATTAAATTCAAAATGATAAATTATTAAAGAATAAAGAATAAAATAATAATATATAGAACTAATATTAATATTTACATTGTATTTATATTATTAAAATAAAAAAATAATTTTATAATAATTATTAAACGAGTACATAATTAAATGTTTAAAATAATTTTTATATGATATTAAATAACTAATTAAACATCATAATTAAAAATTAAAAATTAAAATAATTTTTATATATTTATATTAAATTAAAATAAATATAAAAAATATGTTAAACGTATATTCGTATGATAATATTAAATTAAACGTATTATTCATGTCGTGTCACATATTTAGACGAATCAACACATATACAACACAAATGATATCGTATAAAAATTTATGTCGATATAAATAAATATAAAATATGTTTTTTTAAAACACATAATTTTTTTCATGTGATTTTTTTAATATTTTTATATCATATTATTATATTGTATTTGAAATTATTAAGTGCTACAATCATATTTGGTGATTTTGTATTTAGGTGTTTTTAAAAAATATTAAAATATTAGAGGTAAAATGCGGTTTTAAAAATATTTTAAATTTTGGGATCTGTGAAATTATAAATAATGGGTGCTGAGGAGAATGATAATTTCAGCTTTGACCTAAATTGACTAATTGGTCAGAATCTCTTTTCTCTCCCCATTTTTTAACCAAACGACAGAATAAAGGTCGGTTGCAAAAAACACGCAGAGCAGAATCCTAATTCCGTTGAACGAATCACGTTGTAAGGGTCTATTTAGATCCTCACTTCATGCCAGTGCGGTGCAGTTGGAGGGAACAATCACATTATTATGTCATTTGAATAACATAAGTATGGTATGATAGAGCTATTTGCACCATGCTATAGCCAAGATTTACAACTGAAGCTTTAAGTTCCAGAAAAAAATAGTGTTTCCATCGGAGCCTCTGTTCCCTTCTTTTCGCCCCTTGTTGATTTTTTTAAAAAATTTTTATAGAACTTTTCAATTATTTCTTTAATGTGATAAATAAACTTACACAGTTACATAATAAACAAATAAACAACATTATAAATTTTTAACATATACACAAATAAATATATTTATACATATAATTAATTACACAAAATATTTTTATATATAATAAATAATTACAACGTTATAAACACATAAATACAAAACATAAAAATAAAATATATATTATAAATTTTAGTCATTTTTAATTATATATTAATTTATTAGATATTAAATATATACTTTAAATTTTATTATATACAAATTTTAATCTAATGTCTAATTTTTTTTCTTAATTATTATACTTAATTTCATAATTATTATTATTATGTTTGTATCTAAATATATATTTTATCACTGATTTTAATTTTATTGATATAATATCTAATTAACTTGTGACCTGTATAATGTACAAATTAGTTGTCTACTTAAATATTTATAAACACACAAAAATTAGTATTTTATAGACACTTATATTTGAACTTAAAAAATTATAACATACTTAAAATTCAAATATTGAAATGATATATCAAAAAATAAACTTATTTAAAAAAATAATTATGATAAATAGTTTTAAAATCATAAAACAAAAAATACATGATAAAAAATAAATAAATATTTGCATCTATGCTTGTATGTTTATATCATTAATAAAAATGAGTTGCCTATATCTTTATATCTTTAATAAAAGTAAGTTATATTTATTTTAAAAAGTACAAAATTATGTTATGCAGTTTTTTATTAAAATAAAATTTTAAGATTTTATCTACTCCAATTAAATAAAATTTTATTTTTATTTTGAGTCAAATAAGAAACTTTCATTACTAATAACTTGAGTTACAATTAGCAATGATAATACCTGTAATATTTCTTTGGCATTCGTTTATCTATATTATATCATCAGTAATGCAAAGTTCAAATCGTATTAATACATTGCTCAACCTGATTGACATCTAGCCTAACATGCTTCAGAGAACAGGAAATGGAATCTCTTCTCCTAAACTTTGCTTCATCTACAAAGTTACCTATCATTAAAAGGTATGTTGAAACCAACTCGCTTAGATTTATTATGCCTAGCGCATCTCCTTCAATCCCTATGTATACCCTATGCCCTCTGTAACAAAAGCCTCCACTGTTGTAAGATTTGCCATTTCTGCAAGATTGAAGAGCAACAACAACCATCCCATCCCTATCTATGGCAAGTACTCTTATCCCTCTAACCGTATCTATCATATAAATAATTCCATCAAAATTAACTTTAATAAAATTTAACTGTTAATTACTTCATTAAATAAAAACCTCTAATTAAAAATTAAACCATACTATGCTTAGTGTGTGAAAGAATCATGCAGCTTTGCTATGCTGTTTGCTTCTCCTTTTTCCATATCCCATTCCCTTCCTCACTAGCTGTCCATTGAAATTAACTTTAATAAAATGTAACTGTTAAATTACTTCATTAAATAAAAACCTCTAATTAAAAATTATATCTATATAAACTAAAAAAACGAATAACTAAAGAGACACATGAATTAAAAATTTTGAAAATTTGTAAGCATTTGCTGATTTATTACAAACATTACTACTAAAACAAACAAAAGTAAATACAATGTAATAGTAGAAGAACTCACATTTGACTTCCTTTTATACTGCCTTTGACATATCATTATGACTTAATGGAACAGGAAAGGAAGCAAGATTGCTTGATTATGCAATTATAAGAGAACTTTCACTTGAAAGCCAAAATTTCAAAAGCTTTTAGCTTCATAACTTGTAGATTGTTGTAGTTCGTAGCTTTTCTTCTCTTTTACTCAAGCTAAAATCTATCACTTCCCCGGGATCTCCCTTTCCTTTTTCTTTCGCCAGAGCTCTAAAATCCTTCTTTCCAGAATTCTCTTTGCAGTAACTCATTTTATTTTTAACTTTCCATGTTTATACGGACTCTTCCCCTTTTCTTTTTTAGCCTTCCCAATTTATAGAAGAGTTTTAAGAGTTTGATTTTTCTTTAATGATTTATTTTTAAATTTTTTAACCAAATCATATCACATAACAATAATTTAAAAGATATTTATTTTTTAAAATTTTGTTTAAATAGATTAACTTAATTTTTTAATCAATTTTTTAAAGTTTATATAATATAAATTTATTTAAAATCCAAATATAAGAAATAACATCATCATACTTAAATTTTAAAGAGATATTTGGTAAGAAAATTTTTGAATTAAAAAGATGTTTTTTATTTTTGAATTTTGAATTAAGAACAATTGATTTGAAAATTTTATTATATTTTAACTAAAACACTACAAGAAAATAGTCTTTTAATTAAGGGTTCATACTCCTCGTTAAAAGTTCATATAATCTTTATTAATTCTTTTAACGAAAGTCAATGAACTCCTCACAAGCACTTAATATATAAATAAAAATAAAACCAATTACTAATATAATCATTTAGTGATTAAATTCTCATTAAATAATTATGAATATACTTTTATCATAGTAAAACTTTGGTAATGCATATTATTCTCATACTTTAACAAAAGTTTTTAATATCACTTTTTTATTTTTTAATGAAAGCTTGTATTCACTCATTTAAAATTACTTTTATTAAGAATTATAACCTTCAATATAATATTTTACATTTGGTAGAGAAAAAAAGTTATAATCCTCATAAAAAATACTTATTTATTTTTATTTAAATTGTTAATAACAACATATATTTTTTATATGTGTAATTCTTACTCCAAATAAAATATAAATAAAATTTATCCAAAAAAAATTATTGTATAAAACCAAATAAACACTTACACTAAATGAACAATATACAAACATCTCTCAATATTGAGATATTAGTTCTTTGTCAGTACTATATTATTTTTCTTCAAAAATGGAATAAATTCCTTAATGAAACCAGGGGTCCTATTTGCTACAACTTTGACCTTTAGATAAGAATTCATTTGGTGCTTTCTACAGTTCTGGGCAATAGAGAATCTTCAACGAACATAGCATCCAGATTATCAACCAGTTTGCTGTTATATTCTCCCAAGAGGCTTTGATATTTGGGGGAACCATTGAGATGCATACATTCCAACATTCCAACCTATTGGTATAGAAATAATAATCTCTAAGACAAAAAACAGAGCATCATTTGGAATTGGATCCTTATTTACAAGGAAACCAATAAACAAGAGAAACATTTATCAGCAACAGCATCTATAAAAATATCAACACTTTATAAGATCACCTGTAATTCTGAACGATCACAGTCAGTGCCTTTTATGACCAAATGATCAATAGCAGGGTCAATGACACTATTCCAGGGCCTCATGGTTAAAATGCCTGCAAATAGCTCATACAGATCCTCCCCAGCACCCAATTTCATACTATTTACCTTTATTTCACTAGAATTAGCAGACCCCAATGCCTGCAATGAATGTCAAAGCTTGAACAAAACACATCATCGAGTTGCTTACAAACAAAAACCATAAACGAATGTACCCTCCAAAGAGAAGCATAGCTGTATTTGGTGAAGAAATCAAGTTCTTTATAAAGACCATGGTCTAGAAGTATCAACTGTGGTTTTTTCTTGCCTTTCTTGCCTACGTACAATAAGAGAAAAGAAATAGAATAAATATTCCGATCAGGAATCCTAATGTTGTATTTGGAGAAAGTGACTAAACTCCACAACCAAGCACATGAAAAGCCTAAAAAAGAAGTGCATCATAGGAACTCAAATTTTTAGTAAGGATGAGCTATTATACATCTGAGTGGAAGGCCTAATGTTCTCTAGATTTCTCTACTTTTTTTCCATGACCACATTCTAGAGTCCCTGGAAAGAGGTACACTCGTACTGCAGGTTTTAGTCAATTTATTATGAACATAGAACATTTAGAAACCAATTTTTTCCCCTACAAATCAAAAGCTCCCCAATATATTCGTTTACTCGGTAGTTTCATGTTGAAAGTCTAAAAGATGGCATCACTACTAGCAGTGAACAAATTTGTATGGTAAGAAAGGGCATCATCCTAGACGGGTCAAGCTGGAAGAGATCCAATTGCTTTCACCAAAAACTGACAAAATAATATTTAGCGTACTGAGGATCGTTGATGAAACAAGAAAGATTCAATATCAACTCTTCCCAATTGCAACTAGTTAAGAACTGCCAGAAATATTCTTGAATGATCTCAACATAAAAGAAACCCTCACAAAAAATGCTCCTTTCTCCGGAAGGTAATAGCCGAACTAATAAATTTGCAGCATGTGGATCACAATGAACAAATCCATGTTTAAACTTCATATCAGCAAAAGTTTGACTAACCTGCAAAGAATCAGATTAAATATATATCATCAAGATTAGTTTCTTGCATATATCTCATAATAATCACATAACTCTAATAATTATAAATAAATAAATAAATATATATATATATATATTCTTTCCTACACTTAAGTATTATTCAAGTCTCATTCTCATAATACAGGAATGGTTTTCCTAACATTGTTAATAAAAAAGTATAGCGGAGATGAGTTAATACAGCTTTTAAATGAAGAAAAACGATTGGTTAACAATATCAAGCCAAGAACTTAATAATTTGGCAACTTCATTGGGTTGGATTCCAAGTCTTCGAATGGTAATCACATCATTCACTTGTGCACCATCCATGAATTCCATTATTAACAGCTTTGAGGTACTTAAAGACCAATGCACCTTAGGTGCATATACATAATCCGCAATACAAGGAGACAGCTTCCGAAAATTTTCCAAACATTTCACACTGTTCTTTGCCTCTATCAAAAAGTCTAGCTCCTGATGACAAATGTTAGAAACAATTAAGTGTCATGCCATAGCATCTTGGATGGAAAGAAAGCTAAACACATATTGGATAATAAAAAAACTTGAACATTTCACACATGTTAGTAGCCTCATTCATATTTTGAGCCATGTTTTTCAAAGTGTACAAACCTTCAGCTATATAACCTCCAAACCTTGATCCTGCATGAAGAAAAATATCTTAAATATAATAACTTATATTCAGGAAGGAAGCAAAAAGAAGTTGAAGACGTTTCCTAAATTCACCAATGATGGATGTTTGAATGACCTCCTCCAAACTTCAATTATATGTGTTAGCAGTGGTGGAGCCTCATGAAAACCAGCGAGGGCCATCGCACCCCCAAGATTTTTGAAGCCCTCTAATACATATTGATATAATGTATATAATTTATAAGTGTTCTTTTAAAAATTAAAAATGATCCTCCCTTAAAAAAAAAAAAGTTGTTTTTTGTGATTATAAATATTTAGAATCTTAAGAGTTTAGGTTCAAATTTCATTATACATGGATTTGTTTCAATTTTGTGTTGGATTTGTTTAATTATGCTATAATTTCTTGATTAGTTTATTTATTTGATTATTCATTTATGTAATACTTAATTATAATTGTAATTTGTACTTGTAAGTTAAAAAAAAAATTTAAGACAAAAAAACTTCAGTTCTCAAATTTCAATTAATTTGCAAAAAGTATTAAATATTTATAGTTTAATTCTCATTAGAAAAATTAAAAATAAATGCATTTGTTAAATATGATCCACATTAAAAAGTCAAAATTATTCAAAAAAGTTTAACAAAAAAATTAAAAAAGTGAGATTAATAGAATATAAATAGACACAAATTTTACTCTTTAAAAGTTTGAACCCGACACAACGTGTTATTTCCTAAAAACTTAAATCCAGCACAAAATCGTTATAGTTATTGCAAAACAAGGGTGTATTCTTGTCTTCTTAGAGAGCCAATTACAATAACAGTACAAAGAGTGATTAAAACTTTTTCCATGATAAGACCACTAACCATTGCCGTTTTGTCTTCTAATTTTGAAGCCATTAATAGTAAATTATAAGTTTTTTTTTAATTTTAAATATGAGAAAATTATCAATATTTATTGAGAGAGAATTTTAATCTTATTAACTATATTGAAAGAAAATTTATTAAAACTTTTCAATCTAATGATTTTTTTTTTTTAAATAAAAGATTGTCGGGTACAATTTTAAATAAAATTATTTGAGTTTCTTCCGTTTCAAATAATTATATTTTTTTAATTTCAATCCTTGAATTTTTTATGTATCTTATTTATGGTTATATTATGGAATGCCATATTTTACTTAAAATTTTTTATAACTTTTGATAAAATAATAACATATTATATACTGTTTTTATTTAATTTGGCCCCTTCTAATTTGAAATCCTGGATCCCCACTGTATGTTAGACTGCCTGCTGCAAACACAAATATAGAAGTAAATAAGGGTAAGAACATGCCTTGCAATTGTAGACTGATCATGTTCAGCAATGAAATCGCATCTTTATTGGAGGAATACCATCTAAAATAATCATCTTTGCATTCCTTGCAACCGCACTAAAACACCAGAAATCAAATAACATGAAAACCAAGAGAATAAAAGACAAAAAGCATCTCAATTTAGATTTATTTACACGATATCCAGACTGTATTATTTATGACATAATACATTATTTTATTATTTATGCTATTTTTATTAAAAATATAATAATTTATTATGATAACTTAATATCTCTGTTGATCTGCCGTATCCTAAATCTGTACCTTGATAGTCTTTCTATATCATGGAAAACAATAGAAATTAATTGCAAAATACAAAACCAACAATTTATCATCTGTATGAATGAGGAAACGCAATATCCTAACACGAGTGAGCCTTAAATAAAGCAATTCTTTCTAATGTAAGCATTTCAAAGTTTAACAAAGCAACATGTAAAATTAACAACTAAAGAAACATACAAACACTTATGATGTTACAAAGAAAAACAACCATGAAAAATTGAAGAAGGCCCAATTCAAACAAGAATGAGCAATACTGAATAAAATTTCAAAACAGATTGTTGAGAAAATGAAAAAAAAAAAAAGCGGCATAGTTCATTAACACCTGCAGAAATGCGCCTAAAAGATTAGACTATGTCCCAACTTCCTAACAAGAAGGGGGAAGGACAGAGGATGAATCATATGTGATGCTATAAATATTAGATCCAGATGGGACTTTATCACTATCGTAAGCAAAAGCCATTCAATGTAAACATCAAGAATGGTCAAACCAATTATTATTAAATTTAATATTTAATATTTAATAGATTTAATTAATTAATTTATCAAACCAAGTCCATAAAGTCTTCAAATCTACAACATATCTCAACTAAAATAATCTAATATGCAACCAAAATTATCTACACACGATCTTAAGTTGTTAAAAGAATAAGACCAAAAAGATAACAGAAAATTAGTAGAATATATGCAATGTGTTGGTCAAGCCTTAAAAGATTAATACTTATAACCCTAGATTTTTGAAAATGAGAAAGAAAAAGGGGCATTTAAAGGTGAAATCAAGAATCTTTCTCATTTGAGTTATGGCAACGATGGAATTGATTTGAGCTGCTGTGGTGAGTAGTTGATTTAAGCAAACAATCATCGAAACTTAAGAAATTAAAGAAAAAAAAAAGGCAAAAAAGCTTCGATAGATTAACCAAACAAACCTGAAAAGAAGGGATTTACGGCAAGAAACAGTCAAAATTGGAGAGGTCACAGGCACATAGTGCAGATCCAGGGCCTGAATAAGAAGCGATGGCGGCACAAATGGAAGCAGCAGTGGCGAAAATTTCTGGGGTAGAGATACCAAATTTGCAAATTGAGTAGTGTTTTTTTTTTTTTTTTAAAACGCTTTGTTTTGTAGAATTTCTTTTGCTTTTTAAAAGAATGGTTTTTCGTATTTTTATGGCTTTGCCTCTTTCGCGGGAAAACAAAGGTTAGGCTATCAACAGTGAGGGTCCTGACAACAGCCATTATTAAACGTTTAGCAGATGCTTTTTGTTTTTGAGTTTTTCTTTAAGTAAAGATTTTTCTTTTTGTAAAATTACTTTTGTTTGTTATTTATGTAAGAGGTAAAAAAAAAAAAAAAAAGGAATCAAGCCAAGGTCATTTAAGTACAAAAAACAAAATTTATTTAGTAAAAATTATTTTGATTTTTTACTTTTATTAAAGGAAAAAATAAATTTTTTGAACTTTTTTTACAAAATAAAAGTAAGACAGTTATAAAATAAATTTAGTGAAGTTTATATACTACTGTCATTGAAATTAAGTTTCATCATCCTACCTTCATTTACTTCTAATGCAATAATTTAGTGAAATCAATTAGAGATAATCAAAGTTAATTTTAAAAAAATTTTTGTAGTGAGAGTCATCAGAAGTGACTCTCACATATAAATAATAATTAGTAAGGATCAAATCTAAGTTTACACTAAAAGTTACTTTCAAGTGAATCTCATTAAAATGAAATTTTTAGTGAAAATTGGCATGGGATTCTCATTAAATTCCTCACTAAAACTCATTGTCTTGTAGTGTAAGTTAAATCAAAACATAAATAATTAAATATGCATATGATTTGGTTCAAGTTAAATTTTAAAAGATTTGGATAATTAAATAAATTTTTAAATTTATTTATTTGATAAATAGTATAAAATTAAAAATTATCTTACTTGTTGATTTTTTATTACTTTGAATAATATATAATTAGATTTAGGTATATCTAAATAAAAATGGATTTAAATTCAAATCAATATTTATATATTTTGAATATTTAATATGATTTAATAATTTAACTTGAAAGTTTTTTATATTTGATTGTTTTGAAATAATATTTAATTAATATTATTTTATGTGTCATTCAAATAAATTATCTCAATAAATGTTCAATAAATAAATCTTATCAAATTTCTATATATTATAATATAATATTATATATAATTTCATCATTATAATAATTAATTTCACTATCTATTCAAATAATCTTTAATCCTCCTTGATAACTTCTCTACTTATTCTCATAATCTTTGTTTTTTTTTTCTTTTTCATTCATAAATTGATGAATAAAGTTTCAATTAAGAAAAGAAAAAGCTAGGCATCTGGCTGATAAGTTCAGCTAAGCTACTTTGGAAAAAGATGCTGTATGTTTGCCTAAGATAGCAGCGTGAGTTGAATGCCAGCAGGGCTCGCGTGAAGACTCTGGAGATTCAACCATTCAATATTATTCGATGAAATCAGCCAAAGAGATAGAAACGAATCAAAGATAGATGGATGAGGTGGAATTTTAGGGCCTTTTAAATGGTTCCTGACTCCAGAGTGAAAGAAAGAACCAACCCAACCCCATTATTTTCTAGCAGCCTATCAATTAACATTTCTTCATTGCATTAGTTGGAGAGAGCATATTCCAATCCAAAAGGGGAAAGCACAAACTTCAGAAATATCCATTCCCCAAAACGGCATACATGCTTTGGGACCCATATCTCGTACCTAAATTACAATTTTATTTTTATTAAGAT